GGGGGGGAGGGGAGGAGGGAGATATTGGGGGGGGGGGAGGATGCAAGGGGAGCAGGAGCAGCAGCAAGGGGGACAGGACCTGGGAAGGCCATGATCTCCCTCATTGTGGAACATATTGTTGTGCGCTGCTGGACGAGCTCGTCCAGCAAGTGGTCTTGCCACACAGCCTTTGCCCGCATCCTCTCAGCTATGGTCTCCTGCAGTCTTTGGAGGACCCTAATGTGCTGGCGGGTGAGGTCTTGATACATGCACCAGTGCCTGTGGCTTCCATGGACCCAGCTGGGTGGTGGGACAGATGTCGCTTGACCATCAGGGACGGATGGTCCAGCTGTGGAGGACAAGAGGCAGAAGTGGTCAGTCATGCATGCACACGCTGTCCCTGCTTGTGAGCAGTGAGTTACTGTCCTTGGAACAGGGGATTCTGATGTTCTGACAGCAAGTCCACGTGTGGCCTGGCCAGCAGCCCCAGCATCACAGGGGCCCCTTGGTGCCCAGGGTACCATCCTGCCTCCGCCCCCCCATAGCCAAGCAGCCTAGGGAAGTGTCCAGCCACAATGGGTTCCCAGATATTGGAGAGGGGCCTGGAGTTCTCCCAGGCTCTCACCCCACCCCACCCCACACGTGCATGTGGCAACACTGTCTGCAGGAGCAGTTGTTGCCTCGCATGTACACACGTGGCCAAGTGCTATGTGCAACACTCATTGGTCTGGGTGGGGTCGTGTGTGCATGCTTGTGCCCAGCCTGCTTCCTGGCAGGGGGAGGACAGCCCTCCCTGTTGTTGGACATGTGTGGGGCCGTCCCCAGGCTATGAGCAGCAGCTTGTGTGTGCCCCGGGAAGAGACGTGCCCCGGGACTGCATGTGCTTACACGTGCATAGACAGCTGGATGCTGTCCAGGCCCAGCATCACGCATGAAAATCGTGCCCCCATCCCTTGTGCTCCCATCTCCCGCACGCTGTGTGTGTGGCAATCCCACAGCACTCACCTGATGTTCCCTCCTCGGGGTCTGAAGATGCCTGGGAGGCGTCCTGAGTCTGGGGGACCGGTTCCAGGGTGAGGGTCACACCAAGCCCGGGGTCGTCGTCCTCTTCATCCTGGAGCTGCTGGTCATCAGGGTTGTCTTCATGAAGCTCTGGCCAGGGTAGATGTAGCCTTAATGGGACACTTAGCTTTGCCAAGAAAAGTGTGGAAGTGGATTTCCCATTATCAGCATGAGACTTTTGGTAAGATCTGTGAGGCCAATGCCTGTGAAGTGAGAGAATCTGTCACCACCCTGTTCTGTCTCTAACTAGTCGGCTATGTCTAGACTGGCATGATTTTGCGGAAATACTTTTAATGGAAAAGTTTTTCTGTTAAAAGTATTTCTGCAAAAGAGCGTCTAGATTGGCACGGATGCTTTCGCACAAGAAAGCTCCCACGGCCATTTTAGCCATCGGGCTTTCTTGTGCAAAAAATTAAGGTGCCTGTTTACACTGGCCCTCTTGCGTAAGTATTCTTGCGCAAGAGGGCTGATCCCTGAGCGGGAGCATGAAAGTATTTGCGCAAGAGGCACTATTTTGTACATTACAAAATCAGTGCTCTTGCGCAAATTCAAGTGGCCAGTATAGACAGTTGGCAAGTTTTTGTGCAGAAGTGGCTGCTTTTGCGCAAAATCTTGCCAGTCTAGATGCACCCGTCATGTATTGGTAATAGCACTGCACAGACCCTTTCTGCAACCCTCCTGCTCCCAACACTCCCTTCAGCACTAACAAATCAATACTACTAATCAGGGGCATCCTCTGCTGTTTGTGCTTCCCCAACCTCCAACTGCTGTGACCCACTTGCCTCCTGCAGGGTAGAAGAGAACTCCTGACTACATGCATCTGTGGAAGCAGAACAATCCACTGGCTGTGGGCCCCATGATTTCCTCCAAAGTATCCCTGTGGGTTTTTGGGCTGGAGATGAGGTTGTTCCCACATATTGTATCCTGCTCTTTGTAGAACCCACAAGACACTGGCACAACACCAGCATGGAAACCCCCCGGGGCAGGGCTTAGGCTGCTTGTTGGAGCATCTGTGGGGACCTGAGCTCTCCATCACCTTTGGTACCCCTGGGCAGTACCTTGAGTAGGCATACCGCAGAGTGCTTCCCTTTTTGTCATGTATCTTGATATCCGCCCGTAGTTAACATAATTCTTGTGCCTTGAGCGTAGCTGGCACTGGGACTCTCCCCAATTGCTGATGAGGAAGGAGAAAATTTGTTCCTCTTGGTTTCTGAGGACAGGACAAGGAGTAATGGGCTTAAAGTGCAGCAGGGGAGGTTTAGATTGAACATTAGGAAAAAATTCCTAACTGTCAGGGTGGTCAAATATTGGAATAAATTGCCAAGGGAGGTGGTGGAATCTCCCTCTCTGGAGATATTTAAGAACAGGTTAGATAGACATCTGTCAGGGATGGTGTAGGTGGAGCTTGGTCCTGCCTTGAGGGCAGGGGGCTGGACTCGATGACCTCTCGAGGTCCCTTCCAGTCCTATGATTCTATGAGTTCCAGCACCTCAGCACTGCCTGAAGTTGGGGAATGCCTAGTGTGTGGAACAGGCCTGGCCACCTAGAAAGATACAGAGTGATGAGGGTGTTGAATTAGGCCCCTCCCAACCTGTCTGTGCCCTTCCCTGCCCCAAGCTGGGTTCACTCTCCCATACCCATCACCACTGCCACAAATGGAGTCTGGTCTGAGAGCTGGCACCTTAGCCACAGCTGGAGGCTGTTGCAGAGTCCTGGGCAAGGAGCAGGACCCAAAGCAGCAGCCACTGGCCTAGACCCCTGCAAAGGCGGGGCTGTGTGGAGTAGGCAGCTGACAGAGCCAGGGGCACCCCAGGGGAGCTTCAGGGAGGCCAGGAGGGCGTGGGACAGCCGAGGACCAGCAGCCACAGGGCGGGGCCTGCCTGTAGCTGTAGGCGGGAGAGCTGCCGCCCGCGTCCAAGGTTACTGATCCGAGTGGCAGCGCCTCACCCCCGCCTCAGGCGTTGGTTTCTGCGCGTCTCCTCAGCGACGGCTGCAGGCTCAGAGTCATTCCGCCCGCACGGAGCCGCGCCTGGGCGGGGCCCTGCAGCGCGCGCTCCCCGCTCCTCGCGCACGGGGGCGGGGCTCTGTAGGGAACGCGACGCCCCCTCCTCGCGCCCCGAGCCGCGGCTGGGCGGGGCCCTGCAGCGCGCGCTCCCCGCTCCTCGCGCACGGGGGCGGGGCTCTGTAGGGAACGCGACGCCCCCTCCTCGCGCCCCGAGCCGCGGCTGGGCGGGGCCCTGCAGCGCGCGCGCTCCTGCGCCTGGCGCCCTGAGACGCCCCCCCCCACCCCACCCCGGGCGGGCTTTTGGTCCCTCTGCTGGTGACCGTGCGACGGCCCCCGCCGGGGTGACGTCAGCAAGGGGCATGGCCTTGCTTGAGGCACAGGGGAAGCGGATCTGTGGGGGGCGTGGTCGCTGGCTGGGGGGGGCGTGGCCCCGCGAGGGGCGGGGACCAGGGCTGTGCGCCGCCCTGGCCCGTTGGCTGCTGCTGCTGCTGCTGGCTGGCGGGGGGAGGCAGCGGCGGAAGATGGCGGCGGCCGTGTCGGCGCTGCTCTCGGCCTGGTTCTGGAACGAGCGCTTCTGGCTGCCGCACAACGTGACCTGGGCGGACTTGGCCAGGGAGCCCGGCCCGGAGTGGGGCAGCGACGCCCAGTACCCCCGGGCCTGGCACGTCCTTTTCGCCTTCCCGCTGGCGCTGGGCATCTTCGCCGTCAGGCTGCTGTTCGAGCGGTGAGCGCGCGGGATCCTCCGCCGCGTGCCAGGGACCCGTCAGGGCTGGGGGGCGTCCCCGGCACCTGAGCTCAGGAGCCCTTCGCTGGGCACCCCCAGGGCAGAGGGGATCCTTCTCCAGAGATCCCCGGGACCTGAGCTCAGGGGCCTTTCCCTGGGCACCCCCAGGGCAGAGGGGATCCTTCTCCAGAGATCCCCGGGACCTGAGCTCAGGGGCCTTTCCCTGGGCACCCCCAGGGCAGAGGGGATCCTTCTCCAGAGATCCCCGGGACCTGAGCTCAGGGGCCTTTCCCTGGGCACCCCCAGGGCAGAGGGGATCCTTCTCCAGAGATCCCCGGGACCTGAGCTCAGGGGCCTTTCCCTGGGCACCCCCAGGGCAGAGGGGATCCTTCTCCAGAGATCCCCGGGACCTGAGCTCAGGGGCCTTTCCCTGGGCACCCCCAGGGCAGAGGGGATCCTTCTCCAGAGATCCCCGGGACCTGAGCTCAGGGGCCTTTCCCTGGGCACCCCCAGGGCAGAGGGGATCCTTCTCCAGAGATCCCCGGGACCTGAGCTCAGGGGCCTTTCCCTGGGCACCCCCAGGGCAGAGGGGATCCTTCTCCAGAGATCCCCGGGACCTGAGCTCAGGGGCCTTTCCCTGGGCACCCCCAGGGCAGAGGGGATCCTTCTCCAGAGATCCCCGGGACCTGAGCTCAGGGGCCCTTCCCTGGGCACCCCCAGGGCAGAGGGGATCCTTCTCCAGAGATCCCCGGGACCTGAGCTCAGGGGCCTTTCCCTGGGCACCCCCAGGGCAGAGGGGATCCTTCTCCAGAGATCCCCGGGACCTGAGCTCAGGGGCCTTTCCCTGGGCACCCCCAGGGCAGAGGGGATCCTTCTCCAGAGATCCCCGGGACCTGAGCTCAGGGGCCTTTCCCTGGGCACCCCCAGGGCAGAGGGGATCCTTCTCCAGAGATCCCCGGGACCTGAGCTCAGGAGCCCTTCCCTGGGCACCCCTAGGGCAGAGGGGACCCTTCTCCAGAGTCTCTCCAGGGATCTGAGCTCAGGAGCCCTCCACCATTCCCTGGGCACCCCCTAGGGCAGGCCTGGGGGGGGGGACCCTTCTCCAGAGCATCCCCAGGGATCTGAGCTCAGGAGCCCTCACCCTCCGCCCCCCTGCATCCTGGGTATCCCTGGGGGACAGGGCTGGGGACTTCTCTCTGGCACATCCCTAGAGACTCAAGCTCCTCATCTCTTGGAACTCTCTGTGAACAGGGCTGGTGACAGCTCTCCAGGGCTTCTCAGTCTGGAGGTGGGCATACCCAGGGCATCCTCTGGGACGGACCTGGGGTGGAGGAGGTCTCCTGAGCCTTTCCCAGGGACCACTGAGGAGCTTTCCCTCCCCTGTATTTTGGACATTCCCTAGGGGCAAGGCTGGGTACTTCTCTCTGTAGCATTTCCAGGGACCAGAGCAAAGGAGTTCCTTTCCCTCACTCCCAGCACCCAGGGTAACTCAGACAGGCACACTCACCTAGAAACTCTTGGGGACAGCGGCAGCTCTGTAGAATATCCCTCGGGATTAGAGTTGAGGAATTCCCCCTTCCCTTGCCATAGCTGGGTACCCCACATCCTCACAGAGCATGTCTAGAATCCCCTGGAAGTAGGGCTGGAGAGGTTTCCATAGCATCTTCCAGCCCCACAGGAACCAGAGCTGTATATCCTCCACCCTTGGAGATTCCAGTACTAATCTCTGCTGGGAGTCTCTTTGTCACTAAATTCACATGGAGCTCAGGCTCCCAAATCCTCAGGATTGGAGAGCTGGGTTCTAAGATGTTGGATTTCCAGGAATGGGGGTGGTACCTCTAGATGTGGTATCTGGGGAAATCTACCCATCAGTAAACTTAATATGATATTTCTCTACATGCCAGATGCTGTAAGAATTAATAGCAGTGAGCCAATGAGAGATTTTCAGCTATATAGTACTATGCAAGACTTATTTATGTGTGACTGACTAGACAGTTAATGTGCAATATCTTTTTCAGTTATGAGATTGAACAGCCATGCAGGGTGACAAAAGGACATGGGTAGAAATCGAAGCCCCCTTTATCCACTGGAAAAGTATAGAATAAGGCAGGCAACAGCAGGGCATACCTCAAATGTAAACTTGGTTTCTTCAATCCTTAGCTCCTTCTCTAAGACTGCCAATAAGGAAGTCAGGTAGTCACGATATAAAGCTAGTTTATGTGGCGTGGGACACTTATCCACTACAAAGCTGATGGACCATCCACCAAACTCACTTTGCACAGGTTACTAAAGAGTCTTCAGGTACCTATTTGGGAATGTCTACACAGCAAGAAAAGGAGCAGCCAGCCAGTTTCAGAGATTGGGTCAGCTGACTAAGACTTGCCTGTGGAGCTAAAAATAACAGGTGTAGCTGGTTGGTGTTTGGGCTGGCTCTGAAACCAGTGAGGAGGGAGGTCTCAGAGTGTGGACTGCAGCCCAAGCCCAAATGTTACACTTCTATTTTTAGTCCTGTGGCTTAAACCCTGTGAGTCTGAGTCAGGTGACACAGGCTCTGAGTCTTGGTGCCTCAGGAGTTTTGATTTTTTACAATGTAGATGTACCCCATCAATCATGGCCTCAGTTTGTGATATCATCTATCTTTTAATCATTTCAGCCTCTCATTAAAATACTCTATTTGCTGAGGATGGGCTCTTGGGCAACCAAGCAGAGAATGTATGTGTTTGGAAGTTGCTTTCACAACTTCTTTCATAGTTTTAATGTTCTGAGCTGGCATAGCTTTCATCCTTGTGTTATACGGATCTTATGCTAATGTGTATAAAGACAAATCAAGATGCTTAATGATCTCTTCATACTGATGTCCAGTAGCTGAAGCTGCCAGGTTAGAGGTGTGGGGGTCATACTAGAGAAAATGTTCAGTCCATGCTTGCTATTAAAATACACTTGAATTTGAGTAATGTAATCTCTGGATTCTTAAATATTCTTGTAATTTATTTTGAATATGCATCATAATAATAATAATACTTTGCATTTTTATTTTTTGCTAATGCTCTGTGAATTTGCCACATTGTGAAGCACTTCCTAGTTTGACTCCTCTGTTATATTCAGTTCAAAGATGGATGTAGGGCATGTGGAGTTTAATTCCAAATATTTATGCAAAAAAGTATCTGTACATCCCTGTGTGATTTAGGATGTAGAGACTTTTTGGTTGCTTTTACCACTTGGCCTGCATAATTGTTGGCCAGGCTGCTGAACTCTTTCTTGTATGTTACAGTTACTAATAGTGAAACTGTTGTACATATTGATACTTTTTAGCAGTTCTCTTGTTAATTCTCACAGCTCATTGTTGCAGCTTTATCTGTAGACTTAAGAAACTGGTAACAGTGGGTTTAAGAACAGCATCCTGTGTAAAAACACACACCACTGAAAGCGTAGAATCTTCTTCATACAGTAACTGCTTAAAGAAAGTGAAATATCTGAACAATATTTTAAAGTAATTATTTGAGAACTTCCAGTTGTGATTCTTAAATGTTTTGTTAGTCTATAAAGTGCTACCAGACTATTGGTTGTTTTTTCAGTTTACACTGGTCATGTGAGGCTTTTTCTCTGAAGGATGTGGGGAATTGTTTGCCCAATCCCACTTACTCTATAAAGCAAGAAGCTTAATTATTTCTCTTGATGCATACTTCATGTACAGTAAGACTTAGTTAAATCTGTGTGAAAATAAAATGGGAATGTTACATAACACTAGAAAATGTACTGCTGGGAACAGCTAAGGGGTGTTTGGTATTGTTTCCCCATGGGAAATAGCAGAGGGGAACTAAACAGGTAATTTTGGTTCTTTCAGCAAATCATTTGATAGTAGAAGACTGAGTGGTAATAGTTATTTTCTCTGTGTAACAAGGGCAAAAGCTTTTATTTATGAAAAGGATTGTAGAAGGAAACTGATCAGGGAACTATTCGGTTTTCCCTTGCTGACTTTACATATGAAGTACAGGCAGTCCCCGGGTTGCGTACAAGATAGGGACTGTAGGTTTGTTCTTAAGTTGAATTTGTATGTAAGTCGGAACTGGTACATATTGTAATAGTGATAGAAATGTAGCCGTGTTAGTCTGGGGTAGTTGAAGCAAAATGCAGGACAATATAGCACTTTAAAGACTAACAAGATGGTTTATTAGATGATGAGCTTTCGTGGGCCAGACCCACTTCCTCAGATCAAATAGTGGAAGAAAGGGAAACTTATTGTAAGGGAATATTGTAAGGGAAACTCTAGCCAAACATTTCTCCAGAGCTCAGTTTTATTCTCCCACACCTCATTTCCCTCAGTCCTTTATTCTCAAGGTGAGGTGTCTGCTAAGAAAAGGATTTGTTTAAGCATTTGTCCGCGTCTCCCTGGTCTGCTGGGGGGAAGCAGCTAGTGCGGGGTTGCCTTACCCCGTTTGTAAGTAGGGATCCGATGTAAGTTGGATCCATGTAACCTGGGGACTACCTGTACTATGGGTGTTGAGACTGCATAACTTGATCTAGGACTCCAAAGAAGGGAGGCTGTTGAAGGAGAAAAGCAGAAAAGATAAAAATATGTAATAAAAGGCAGGTGAAAGGAGAAAATAGAACAGTAAAAGAAAAAGCAATGATCTTTCCCTCCTGCCCCACCTATTCTGACCTGAAAACCAAACCAAAAAAGACATTCCTTTGCTCTGCCTTCTGAGACTCCTCTTTGAAGCACCATGCCATCCAATGCAAAGGATCTAGGGACACACTTCCCAGAGTGTCAGTGCTGGTCCTGGCCAAATGTCTGCACTCAGCAGCAAACAATGACAGGATGTGATGGAATGTTCCCTGTTATAGAGATGTTGCAAGGGTCAAGATGGAATCCTTCCTCCTCTTTCCATGTACAGCACTGAATAATGGGCCCAGGCATACTAGTTTTGGTGGGAAGTGCAGAAGATTATAATTTTCCTTTGCAACATGAGGTATTAGCTGCTGGCAGAGACAGAGTACTA